AAAGTATTGGCACCCTTTCACAACTGGGGAAAAATAAAAAAGTTACAACAGGGAAAGCCCGAAACCACCGGGGGCAAGAAACATTTTTGGGGGAAATTAAGAAATACCCAAAAGCAGAAAAAAAGGGAAACGTTCACTTAACCTTTTGGGCTTTTGTTTTTCCTGTCGTGCCACACTAACAGGGACAACAAAAAAGGGGGCGAGCGTCTAGGCCCTGAGAACCAAAAAATTGGGGGCAAAATACCCCAACAACTAAAGGGTTTACAAGTCCATCTCCAAGAACAGTTTTCCCTTTTTGGTCCACATGCGCAACATTAAAAAAGTTTGCAACCCGGGCCCTGTACAATCTCCCGGTCTGGACGATGGGGGAAAAAATTGAGAAAGTTGCAACGCAGAATAGTCCGGATGGTGGATAAGCCCCCAAACATTTTCCCAAAGACTTTAAAAGCTGTCCGCAGGCTCAGGGAGCATCAGTGTCACGCGAAAACTAATCCTCGACATTTAAATGAAATGAATCGCTAGGGCAGGACCCAGGAGGAACCCCACTGCTGACACAGAGACATAAAAAAGCAAGACTACAGTTTGCCAAAATGTACTTGAGTAAGCCAAAAGCCTTCTGGGGAAAACGTCTTGTGGACAGATGAGACCAAGATAGAGCTTTTCGGTTAAAGCCACATCATTCTACTGTTTACCGAAAACGGAATGAGGCCTACAAAGAACAAAACACAGTACCTACAGGTAAAATATATGGTGGAGGTTCAATGATGTTTTGGGGTTGTTTTGCTGCCTCTGGCACTGGGTCCTTGACTGTGTGCAAGGCATCATGAAAATCTGAGGATTTACCAAAGGATTTTGGGTCGCACTGTAGGGCCCAGTGTCAGAAAGCTGGGTTTGCCTCCAAGATCCTGGGTCTTCCAGCAGGACAATGACCCCAAACATACGTCAAAAAGCACTCAGAAATGGATGGCAAAGAAGCGCTGGAGAGTTCTGAAGTGGCCAGCAATGAGCCCAGATCTAAATCCCATTGAACACCTGTGGAGAGATCTTAAAAAATTGCTGTTGGGAAAAGGTGTCCTTCCAATAAGAGAGACCTGGAGCTGTTTGCAAAGGAAGAGTGGTCCAAACTTCCGGGTGAGAGGCTGTCAGAAGCTTATTGATGGTTATAGGAAGCGAACTGATTTCAGTTATGTTTTCCAAAGGGTGTGCAACCAAATATTAAGTTAAGGGTGCCAATACTTTTGTCCAGCCCATTTTTGGGGTTTTGTGTGACATTATGTCATATTTGCTTTTCTGCCTCTGTTTTATATTTGTTCCAATACATACAAAGGGAATAAACATGTGTATAGCAAAACATGTGTTAATGCAATACCTTTTTTGTGTGAAATACTTGATTTTCAGGAAAAATATCAAGGGTGCCAACAATTTCGGCCATGACTGTATAGGCAACACATTTACCTTGTGCCAATCTACTACTACGTCAGTTATTAAATCGTGTCTAAATATAAAACAAATTGTAGCTTATAAATATCTCTGATCAGCTCTCTTGTGCAGACGCTTTATTAACTGTTTCTGGGCCATATCAGTTTTTAGCAGTTGTGGTTCTTTTGAGATTGTATTAAAGCGGTGTTAAACCCAAATGCAAACACTTATTATATTGCATTAAATTATCAGAGGGTATATGTATTTACTGAAGCATTTCACCTCTTTCCTTAATTAATAAAAACAATTTATATTATATATTCATTTAAATAATTGTGTGAAAAAACATAAAGCACCTAAATATATAACATTTTAATTTTTAGATCATTTTAAACTCTTTTAGAAAAAGTATAGAGGTGGCTTGCTTTTCTGAAAAAGACATCAGCTACGAAGTTCGTACACTAGCTATAAAAAGACAGGCTCACATAATGCCATATACTAATTACACACAGCTTAAAAATGTGGAGCTGAGCTGAACAGCAGTCATGAAATTTAAATGAGAATGTTCTACCCATTGATTGAAGCGGTATTAAGAGCAGGTAAAACAAGGCACAGGTAACTTTGAGAAGAGGATCCACTCTGAGAGATTTACAGCACAATGGCTTATACCATCTCATCAGAGCTTTATCCTCTGAATAAGGAGGCACAGCAGCTATTTACACTCTCTGGCCACTTTACTATGTACACCTTGGACCCCCTTTAAACCTTCAGAACTGCCTTAATTCTTCATGGTATAGATTCAACAAGGTGTTGGAAACATTCCTTGAAGATTTTGGTCCACATTGACATGAGTTTCTGTTTCCTTTCTATCATCTCGAACCAGTCTGCCCATTCTCCTCTAACATCAACAAAGCATTTCCGTCCAAACAACTGTCGCTCACTGGATATTTTCTCTTTTTTAGACCATTCTCTGTAAACCCTAGAGATGGTTGTGAGTGAAAATCCCAGTAGATTAGCAGTTTTTGAAATAGACCAGTCCATCTGGCGCCAAAATCCATGCCACATTCAAAGTCACTTAAATACCCTTTCTTTCCCATTCTGATGCTTGGTTTGAACTTCAGAAAGTCATATTCACCATGTCTAAATGCCTAAATGCATTGAGTTGCTGCCTTGTGATTGGTTGATTAGTAACTTGTGTTACTAAGCAATTGAACGGGTGCACCTAATAAAGTGGCCAGTGAGTGTACAACCTACTATACAAACCAAATTCTGGTTAAGCAAATTCTATTCAAGTATGTAGTCCTAACTGAAAAAGAACATTCTAATACTCTCAGCCTCCTCCGAATTGCCAAATTCTTTTTTCTGCTCCTGAAATCCAACTTCCTGTTAGAGCATGACTTCGTTCATCCTCCATGATCCCACTATTTGTAGGAATGTAGCCACCCTATTTGCACATTGTATGCTCTGAATGTACACTCTCTAAATCTAGGTTCACACCTATGCATTTTCCACTGTGTTTTGTGTGAATGCACAGCTATCCATTTAACATGATGGGTGCCCTTGGGAAGAATGTTGCACCAAGAAAATGGCTTGTGCAAGCCTAAACTTAGGGTGTACTCACACTAGGGGCTCTATTTATAAAACATATATTGGACAAATGTCACATGCATTGGCTCGGTCTGCATGATATTTGGGGTAGTGAAGCCATGATCTCCACCTCATTCAACAAGAGAATGCCTTGTATTCATTGAAAAAATACAAGGCTTTCTGTGAATGGTGGAGGGGCCCAGCAAGGGACCCCCTGTGGTTACTATGCAGAAGGGAAGCTGCTCGGCACAGGACCCAGAAGCTTAATGTTATTACTGTAGTGGCGCTGACTACAACATTGATTTGCAGCTTTTACTGCAATCATTCCGTTCTGTGATATGCATATTTACATTTTCCAAAAGCTGGACCAATGTAACTATGCAATGAAAGTCATACCTAGAGTTCAGCATTATGTATCATGCTGTCATTTTTTTCAGATGCTGAAGGTTGAAGAACCAGTCAATGGTTCCTTTACACATAATCACTAATTGTCATGTTTTTTTTTTTTCAGAACTGTTGGTCAATGTTTGTCCTTCTGTGGTGAAGACTTTTAAGAACAAAGCATGGTGAGGAACATTGATGATCTGGAATTCTGCCTCCCATCTCACTCAGATTCTATACTGTCTGGCCTGCAGTCTCTTCGTTTCAACCCTCGACTCTCAGATGTCACTCTTATGGTTCAGGGACGGGAATTTCCTTGCCACCGGGCAGTGCTGGCGCTGTGCAGTCAATATTTCCATGCCATGTTCACTGGAGACTTCCAGGAATGCATCTCTGCTCATGTGGAGATTAAAGAAGTAGACGCAGACCTAATGGAGACATTGATTAATTTTTGTTATACTGGCCATCTCACCATTAACCAGAACAATGTAGAGGGGCTTATCCGTATTTCCAACCAGCTTCATTTTCCTGCTGTGCGAAAGGTGTGCATTCGTTATTTGCAGCAACAGATGGATGCAACCAACTGCCTAGGCATCTGGGAATTTGGAGAAACACATGGCTGTCCTGAGGTGACTGCAAAGGCTTGGTCTTTTCTACAGGAGAACTTTGAGGCAGTTTGCCAAGAAGAAGAATTCCTACTTTTGCCTTCAGAGCATTTGCTTCGGTACTTGGGCGATCCTTTGCTACAAGTGAGAGAAGATCAGAGTCGGGCGAAGGCAGTACTTCTGTGGGTGAGACAAGATGAAAAGACCAGAGCTCCGTACTTGCCAGAGCTTCTTAGTATAGCCAGACTGTCAAACCTGACAGACCTCTGTCTCCAAGAGCTGGAGGCTGAGCCATTGATCAGTGGATCAGAGCCATGCAGAGCGCTGATCAGAGGAAATCTTGGAAAGGTGTGTAATGACATATATGCTTTCAGTGCAAATGTTTTGGGTCACATTTACTTACCACAATAAAAATATTAATGAGAATTATTGATATATAATCGCTGTTTAAGGAAATAATTTTCTAGTATAAACATGTAGTCAGTCCTAGTGTAGCGATTGGAGGAAAATGTAAAGTCTTTTCCTGGCCTATACTCATATCACAATACTAAACTCTGTCCTTTGACCCCACAGAATCACCTTCTAACTAATAAAAGAAAGTGAGTTCTGCAGGCCAAAATTATTTTTTGGTTTTTGCTCCAGGCCACCTTCTTTTTTATTTTTTTTCTACGTTTCATCACTTTCTTGCATCAAAGTAAACTGCCTTCCTACTGCTTTCTCATCCATCCAGATTTAGCCTTTCCTGGATCTTAGGGGACTCTGATGTTGGTGACAACTTCTAACTCAGGGGTGTTTGGTATAGTGTAGCCTAATTAGCTGCTTTATTTCATGGCAGGGTGGTGGGCTCTTTTTGGTAATGCCTGTTACTTTTTATGTTAGTTCTGTGTTTCTACTTCATTTCCTATTTCCCTTTATTTCCTATTTCTAGAGTGCAGACTGTGCCCTCTGTTTCTGCTTTCTGACTTTCACCCTCTGATTTCCTACTCCCTGAGTGTTGTGGCTTGTGAGCAGGCAATGCATTGGTGTGCGTGTGTCCCTATATGGCAACAAGGGTACATGTACATGGTGGCTTGTGGCAGCCTAGGAATGACTGTAGCGCCAGCTTAAATTCCAGAGCTGGTTGCCATCTATCTCTTCTGTGGTAATTGGGTGGCTTGTCTGGTTCCTCTTTTTTCACCTATACTTTTACCCAATTCCTCTAGGAATATGAGGAGGTTTAATATTTCTTTCACATCTCTGGTAGCCTTTTGTTCACCTATTCTCCTTTGTTTGGTTTTCCACCTGTACCCTTATATTCAGGTGATGGTTTCTGCGAACATGACCTTCTGACTTTTTGCCATTGGTCTTAATAGCCTTTGCCTTGCTTTTCAGATATGAGTTCACCACATACTGCTTCTGAGGCACTTCTGAATCCATTAAAGGTAGGGGAAGCTCTGTGATAGTGTTATGGGCAGTAAAATAGTGCTTTTATTTAATGGATCTAGTACTTCTTTTGTAGCAGGGAAAGCCCTAAATGAAAGCATGGAACTGGTCCTCATCACCTGATTATGAAATACATGGATCTTCAAGTTCTTATCATTCTTGTGGCCATATAAGTAGTCGCTCTTGTTATTCTTGCAGTAGTGCTATATGTGTATATTCTACTCAGGGTCAATGCTCTATTCTGGTGCTGCCCATCCGGGTAAATTGGCCCTAAATGAAAGCATGGAACTGGTCCTCATCACCTGATTATGAAATACATGGATCTTCAAGTTCTTATTATTCTTGTGGCCATGGAAGTAGTCGCTCTTGTTATTCTTGCAGTAGTGCTATATGTGTATATTCTACTCAGGGTCAATGCTCTATTCTGGTGCTGCCCATCCGGGTAAATTGGTGTGTATCGATTGTCCTAAAGAAGTGACTAGAGACAGAGGCAGATTCTTTGAAGGTAAGCACACATTCAAAAAGCTACAGGAGACAGCATGAGGCAAGTTGCTTTGCCAATGGCAGCATCATCATAGGCAAGTAAGCCACCACCCTTTCCTGAACCAAAGCCAGGTCCACAGTGGACCTGGCTCACATTTGTTTGATCTTAACCTGGTAACTCCCTTTACGATGGTGTTAAAGAGACCACTGAATAGAAAGGGAAAGCCTCTAAAAGAAGAAAGGTTTGCCCTTATGTCGAAAATGAAAGGGTTTACTGAAAAGGAAAAAGCCACATAAGATTAACTTACAGAATCATGTTTCAAAGTTATATCCTTGGACTGCATTGGATTTTACTTTATGGGATTTCTTTCCGGCAGTGGATGCAGCTTTACTATCATTGGTTGGGTCACATATCTCTGAATTGATCTGTTACATTCAAGGATCCAAAAGATCAAAGAACAGATTCAGTCTTGATAAAAATGTTTACCCTGTGTTGGGTTTAGCCTGGCACTCTACAAAAACCCTGACATCGGTCTATCAAGCAGACAAGGCTTAGGATCCAATATTGACACAATATCTAAAGAGACCTCTTGCATTGTGAAAGCTATATCTCATATCTCCAAACAAGAGGTTACCAAAAATGTTCCTCTTCAACAGGTGGCAGCTGAAATTTCCCAGTGAGCAAAGGTGCTGTCAGTTTCCTACCAGCCGGGGACAGGAAACCTTCTGGCAAGACCCCCTGAGTCAGGTTTTGCTTGATAACAATGAGTGGACAATTAACAGGACATTTCTTAGACTTATATTCACAAAACAGGGGACTCCTTTGCTTGACCTGCAGGCATTAATCTGAATTCATCCTCGGAGAAAGTACTTATTTCTTCTAACATCTAAAGTTGGTGTTAATTTCTCTTTTGCAATTTCTTTTGTGCCATTAGAAGATTGTTCCATCTGGTTCCTGGTGTTAAAAGCTATTGTTTCAACCCCCATTACATCTGCCAGAGGCACCTTGGAGATAGAGGTGCTATCCTACAAGAAACCTTTTTGTAGCTTTCTGAACAAAGTTGTTCTGCGACCTCTCCTAGACTTTAGTTCGAAAGTAGCATCTAATGTTCATAGCAGCTGTGAAGCAGTTCAAGGCTTAATGACATAACAAATGAATGTAAAATAAACATGTATTTCTACTTTTAGGATTTGCAACATGAATAGGCTCAAAAGGCTGCACTCTCACATTGCTGGAGAAAGCATGAGAAATGGTGGTAAACCTAAACTCTATAAAAATAAAATATCAACATAAACAGATGGCAGGTTGATACTTGCCACTAAAACCTCTATTGTAAATAGTACAAACTAAAGAGGTGGATGGAAACACAAAAAGGTCTATTCTACAATAACAAGGTCTTGATTGGAAGACCCAAGTACAGGTGGGTCATAGTCTAGATGAGTGATATCCAAGCAACTATTAAGGAATCTTTAATTACAAACAAAAACTTATAACAGCGAGTAACAGAAATCAAAGTAAAAAAATTAAGGCTGACCTGCTCCTGAGAATAAAGGTTACTGGCCGTATAATCCATATTGCTCTGGTACTGGAGTCAGGCCTCTTCGGTGTCTCCAGACGTTTCTAGGGGATCCTCAAACCAGGAGCAGTGGCTAAATGATTTTTACTATGAGCATTAGCTGAATGGGAAACCATTAGCTGCACGGAAATGACCAAGAGCTGCACCAAAATGAGTGTTAGCCAGGGGCGGACTGACCATTTGGAAACTTGGGTACTGCCCGAGGGCCCGGGGTCAGTAGGGGGCCCCATGAGATGCCCCTGGTACCTTTTTCATGGGCTTTTTTGAGTTTGGGTAAGGACACAGGGGGCCCCTATGATCCCCTATTGCCCGGGGGCCTCATGAGTTGTCAGTCCGCCCCTGGTGTTATCTGTATTAGTTTCCTGACAATAGCACTCAGCAGGCACATTAACAATTTTGTTAGACACTATCAATCAATTACCGTACAAGACAATTTTTAGCTCCAAATATGTATTATTCAACCATAGATAACCATATTTTCCTGTTGAATTATAGTTTTATATCAATAAGCATAATTTTTTGGATATTGAAAAAATACTGCTATGGAGAAACTTTTTACATTAACAATGATGAAATGTAGAGGTGAATTAAACAAGCTATGACCTGCAGTGACCTTTCACAACTCATTAGTATTGATATCTGTACAGGTTGAGTGCACATATCACCTGTCTATGCCTCCCGACCTGGGTCACTGTTTGGTTTCCTTTCTCTCCCTGGACTTAAATCCTTTGTAACCTGTCACCTTTCACTGGTGTGTTAACCTGCTGAACTTGTGTTATTTGTGTCATCACACGAGTTTAATCTCTCGCACCTCAACAGACATTACACCTGGATAACTTCACAGGGCTGTGCTACCCAGATCACCTGTTCATGTTATCATCAGACACCTAACTGATCTCCCTAACTGTATCGCTTCTCAAACAGCACCTGTTATCAGTTACGTCTCGTGTCATATTCCCACACACCTGTCACCTTTCAAATGTGTGTCACTTCTCACAGCTATGAGTCTTTTGTTACATGTGCTAACGCTGGTAATTATAGATGTATTATTAAATGCTGCAACAGGATTATAGACAAGGGCAATGAAAAGGTTATAATAAGATGTTAGACAAATGGAGGAGAAGGTCACACATGGTTTAATGTAGTCTTTTCTCTGCACTTGCAGGTGACAAAGGGACAAACAGAGCTGGCCACAGCATCTCTCCAGCAAGTGCTAGTGGTGGTTGGTGGAAAGGTGCTGGAGGAGGAGGAGGATGAGGATGAAGATGATGAAGAACCTCTCAGAACATCATCAAACTTTGCCTACTATAATCCTAAAACTAGTGAGTAAGAGCCCACTGTGACGGAGGGTAGGCAGGACAGAACACACAGAGTAGATGGCAAATGCACAAAGCTTTATTGAGACAAAAGATGACAGTCACTCAATATGGGGGGTTTGCCGGAAGGGTGACCTCGGCGGCAAGAGAACAGCAAGGAGGGGCTGAAACACTTATAGACCAGTACAGGGGACAAGGAAGAGTCTCTGTAGCAGATTGTAATCCAACACAGGGGGAGTAGGGGGTCAGCACGGGAGCAGTTCAAGTAGAACAGGGAAAAGCATATGCCCACGGAACTGACAGGGTGCCTGGTCTCCCAGGGGTAGGAAGTAAGACACAGGTACCTGTTGAGGTCTGGAGTAGGCGGGTGGTCTCTCCTGTTGGATTGGGGTCTCCGGCACTGGCAGGCAATCCCCTGGATTGGGGTCTCAGGCACCAGCAGGCAATCCCCTTGGACTGGGATCTCTGGCACCGATAGGCAATCCCTGGACTGGGGGTCTCAGTAATTGGCAGGCAATCCCCCTGGACTGGGGTCTCAGGCACTGGTAGGCAATCCCCTTGGACTGGGGTCTCTGGCACTGATAGGCAATCCCTGGACTGGGGGTCTCAGTAATTGGCAGGCAATCCCCCTGGACTGGGGGTCTCAGGCACTGGTAGGCAATCCCCCTGGACTGAGGGTCTCAGGCACCGGCAGGCAATCCCCTTGGACAGGGGTCTCAGGCACTGGTAGGCAATCCCCCTGGACTGGGGTCTCAGGCACTGGCAGGCCATCCCCTTGGACTGGGGGTCTCAGGCACCGGCAGGCAATCCCCTGTACTGGGGGTCTCAGGCGCTGGCAGGCAATCCCCCTGGACTGGGGGGCTCAGGCACTGGCAGGCAATCCCCTGGACTGGGGGTCTCAAGCACTGGCAGGCAATCCCCTGGACTGGGGGTCTCAGGCACTGGCAGACAATCCCCTGGATTGGGGTCTCAGGCAGGCTTAGGTGCAGTCCCCGCCCCCTTGACTGGGGGTCTTGGCAGAGTCTTAGCCACAAGGGGCCCGCCGCAGTGGGCTCCCTCTTTTGGCTGCGCAGTGGAGGAGAAAATGACTGGAGCACCCGGCATCAGCTTCTTAAGCTGATGCAGGATGCTCCCTAGTCGTCTGTGTAACTGGGGCGGGCCGGAGCTGGTGTGCCGCATTGCCCGGCCATGAGGCACGCCCCCTGGACACAGGCCGCGCTTCTCGTGAGCACGACCTTTGTCCAGGGACGTCCGCAAGTGCGGGAACTTCCCGTGCCCACGCTGCGGATGACAGGGCTGGGGTGGTGTCAGTGAGACGCCCCAGCCCGGAACATCCCTGCGGGAGGTTCGCACTTCTCCGCGGAGAGGTGTGAACCTCGCCACCCTCTCCTCTCGGGCCATGCCAGAGGGGGAGAGGATAGTGGCAGGGGTGGTGAAAACCGCACCTCTCATCCATCTGCGGCAGGATGAGAGGTGGAGGGGGGGGTCAGTGGACAACCTGGAGAAATCATGTTTGAAGACAGGGGACACAGTGAGGGGGCCCCAGATGACACTGGGCCCCCTGGGGACATCAGAAGGACCTGGTGCAGGAAATTATTTAATGTAATTTGGGGACATGTAGCAAGCTGGCAGGGAGGGGGGAAGCTACAGTAATTGAATTTGGCCATTTTGCAGGGTGAACACGGAGGACATACAGTGATCGATTCTGAGGGATGTTTGGTACAGGGAATTAATAAGGGGATTAAGTAAAATCAATAATTGGCAGGGGCCCCTATACCGTGATACCCACTTTATAATATGAGACTAACTTTTGTTATTTTACACATTATAATGGTTAGGATTGCTTGCAGCATTCAGGTCAGATATAGCTAAGGCCCTGGTCTCCATAGTTTTACTCTTGCATTGACTAAAAGCACAGTAAAAGTAGTATATATATAGTATATATAAAGTAACATATAGCACTATTGTCTCAATAAACAACATATAGGAAATGAGATACCATGCTGAAAGTTTATTACAGCTTTATAGTTCTCTTTATCACCCTTAGTTTGTCCATGACGTTGGTGCTATCTAGAAATATATCATTCAATAAACAGACAAAATCAGAGATTATCAGCAGCTGTTTTTCCTCATGGATGTCAGCAGTACCAGTAACTCTATACCAGTGTCACACAGGATATTCTATCACTGGAAAAACTTTGGTGGAATTCAACTTGCGTCATTACCACCCATACCTGCACTGGAACAGCAATAAAGGAAAGATCTTCCATTCAGGATACATTTTCAGATGACAGCTGCCTAAGAGGGCATTTTTCTCACTTTGGAGAGAGATATGAGATATGAGAGATTGAACTTCTTGCTGTGTCTTTGGAACAGGAAGTTAACCAAAATCTCCCCAATGGAACACTGACAGCAATAAAAACTTGTGTGAACTGAAGGGACCAGGTGACACGCAATCAATTTAAAAGTCCATATATCCTTTATTCTTGATAGAAAAGTCACAACCAGTAAAAAAGAAGGTAGCCAACCCATTTAAGGGGCAAAAAAACCCCTTTCATTCATTTTCAAGCTCTGTGTTGGATCCTGAGACTTTTAGAAAAGCAACGTTACTGCTCAGAAGCAATATCCATCCAGGAAGTTATTTCTCAGAACCCCATACTGAAACTCTAACAACCTAGTTTGAGCTCTGATGAAGGGGGATTTATTGGCCCCTGAAATACGTTGGTCACTTTCTTTTCACTGGTTGTGACTTTAATGTAAAAAATAAAGGATAATGTGGACATTTGAATGAATCGTTTGGCACTTGGTCCCTTTTGTTCATACAAATCTCCTGTTGGGTTAGCCAAGCCTAAGCCAGCCGTGGTACCGATCACTGACAGTGTCCATTCATAAGTGAAACATAGTAAACTGTGTTTTCTATGCTTAAGTCTATGAATGCACAGGGAGCACTATTTCCTGTCTATTCATTCTGTGCTGCTGAGGATGCTGAGAAGGAGATTAAGGGATGTGTTCCCATTCTCTGTCCCAAAGGTCTGTTTAGACCCCTGATATTTCATTCAAAGCCCCCAAACAGGGCTCCTTTAAAACAATACAAAAAATGATTAGACACTGAGGGGTTGATTTACTAAAAACTGGTGAGTGTCCAGAATCTGGTGCAGCAGCAGGTGCACTTCATGGTTAGCTAATCCGCTTCCAACTTCTGCTTTGTTTTAATTAAGCTTTGACAAGGAAAAGCTGGAAGCTGATTGGTTTCTATGAGTTGCAACCAGATTTTTGCCCAATCTGCTAAAGTATAGGTTTTGGTTAAATTAACCCCTAAGTCGACTTAATTGCATACATATGTAGATCTTCGGAAACATAGGAAAAACCCTTTACAGTATTGACGATCATCAGTGTGGGAATGTTGTAAATTTCACATTTTTTGTCCTGAATTTCGCACCACATCTGTGTAGTCCTCCATTGTGGAACTTATCTTCTATCTGGGGGGGCTCACCAGCTAGTGTTGCACCTAGTGTCCTGCCTCAATTTTATATGCATCTGTGTTGATATACTATTATGTGACAATTGACTGTCACTTTTTGGGGATATTACCTAACACCTAATATTGGCTCTTATGCATTTTATGCACAATAGAAAATTAAACCCATGATCAGGAAACACTTGTCTCATTTTGTGTTGTAACCCATTCATTAAACATTTTATACAAGTTTTGAAAGATTGGGAGTGTCCACGCTAGCTTGTATAGTACATTATAAAGAAATTATTTTGCAAACAGCCACACTCGTTTTGGGGGATCAAGCGATCAGTTCCCTCGTTCATCAGGCTTTAAAAAAACAGATAATGTAGGCACTGGATTGGAAAAGCACTTTTCAAATCCAGGCTCCTGCATTATCTGGTTTTATAGCTCTGATGAAGGGGTTGTGTCAATGTCTGGTTGCTTTTCCATTCTGACATGTCTTATGTCTATGACAGAAATGTGGATGGTCTCTCCCAGATTTCCCAGATTATAATAAATATGGGGATTCTCCGTCACCTCTTGAACAATGATGTCTATGTTACAGGTCATGTATGACAGAACTTTGGGAAGAGTAAAACCTGGATTAAGCTGTACGTTTTTGTGTGGTGAATAATGGCTTCCTGTTTCAAGTAATACTGTCTGAATGCTTTATCCCTGTAATGGCTGTGTAGAGACATATAGGGGATCAAAACAAAATGTCCATCCTATCAATTAACATTTAGTCTGACGCAGGTGCCCTAAGGGTATTTTCTTAAAATCATATCTGGCACAAGCCTGTTTTGTTGTATTAAAGCTGTCAAAGCAATTTGAATAGGATGGAAACTCAGTTTTAGTGTTGGAAACCTTTGTAACATTATAAATCTGCTTAAGTGATGTACTGAGTTATAAACAATTCATAAATATCCATACACGCTAAATTAGGGCTTTTATATGTAGAATATTTTTCATTGACAAGAATGACTGTCCTTTGACTGGCAGCAAACCTGAATGTAGCAGACCTCTGTCACTAACAGCATAATTCCAGGCATGCTGCTACCACAGTTGATATAAAACTATATGGGTACTGTTTTACCTGCCAAATGATTTTCAGTTCTGTTCAGTTGCTCTTGTGAGCCATACTTTTCTTCCAGACAGCACAGACAGATCCTTGACCTTCACTAAAGGCACAGCACAGCTTGATTTGGAATACTAGTTGAGAACATACTCCAGCTGTCATTTCCCTCTTCAACAGTAGTGTCCATATTGGTAATTGAGACTCACTGGACACAGGGGTGGTTTTGTGTGGCCCTGTAGGATTTTGCCCTTGTCATGTTGCAAGTAAATCAACAGCAAAGGTTCCTTTGAGGGCTAAGGAGCTCCTGGATTAAGCAGCTATATACTGATTGTATGACATAGCACATCCCCTTTAGCTAATTTTTAAAAGTACACTTTCTTGTAGCTTTTAGATCTGTTTTGGCTGCTCTACTCTCACTGTTCAATCCAGGGAAGTCAGGCCTCAGGAAACAAAAATTAAATTAGTTTCAAAGAGGCTGCTAATATACATAAAAATAACATTCCTTGCAGTTTGTCTTAGTAAGAACATTGATATTTACAAGGTTCCTTTTAACTGCTTGTGCTCCGTTTTCACAAACATGAACAGTAAGTTAACACAAAGTAATCCATGATATAGATTTTCTTACTGTCAATACTCTTCTATTTCCCAGGAGGCTCTCGAGGTTCGTCGAGATGATTCATGGTCACACGTCATGGCTGGTGCTTTGTGTTAAATGAATGTGATTATGGGAAGCCATTATCTCCAATGATAAATCCACGCACCAACCTCGCTAGTGGCCTCTTTTGAATGGGGATTGGTATATGTCATTGGAGGTCAGATATCTATCAGTTCTACAGTAATTGTAAAAAACCTCTGGCAATGATCAGCGTTCCCCATAGTATTTAAGTAAAACACTGGTGTTCAATTGCATTATTCTGTTCACAGGAACTCTGCAGGAAGCAGTGGAAGTGTGAGTGTCATGATCCCTACATGTGGCACATGGTCTAGCAGTAAGCCCTGCCCAGAAGTATGTCAGCAACTTTACTGCTGTTGGCTTGCAGTGGAAAGTTGTATGTGGTTGGGCTCCTGTGCTGTAAAGTACAATGCATTTAACCCTTCAATGTTACAATCCATCTACAGGTATGTATGACTCTTATTTTAAAAATAATTTTTATAGTGATTTTTTTTTTCTTTTTTTGAAACACTGACTTTTGTTTAAAAGTGTAATAAAAAAAATCTATCATTAGTACATCTCTAAAATACTCATCGTGAATCAATACTTAATTTTATGTAAGTGTCACGCTTACCCGTAATGCAGGTGGTCAGAAACTATAGCTGGCTTCTGTGTTCTTTACCTATAAGCAGCCCCCTTTCCCATACGACAAGCAGACCTACCTAGTGGGTACTTATACACAATTACTTTAGTGCCTGGCTACCAAGCTGGGGCAGGCATATACTGAGCACAGCAAAACAGGTACTTGCAGTTGGAAGACAGGTAGAATGGTTCAATGACAGTCCAGGTAAAAGGCAGGCAAGGTTCAGAATAGTCAGGGTCAAATAAGGGCAGACAAACAAGGTGTTAGCACTACCCCCTTGGGTGAAGTTGCTGTTGAATTCGGTCCCCCAATAGTCCTGCACAGCCCAGGCAATCTGTATTTCTCCACATCAAGCTTTGGCATTTCGGGGTCAGAAAAATCAGTGCTTGAGCTTTTGTTTTGTTATTTGTTAGGGGATTTAGAACTGGGATAGATTAAGGGGGATAACGAATGGCAAGGGAACCAACAAACTGAGGACAAACTTCCTGGCAACTATTCACAAGCTTTCTTCTTTCCTAGATTAAATTCTCCACTTCGCCCAGCAATCTGGAGGTTCTCCTGAGCAGGGGATCTGGCTCCTGTTCCTTATTAATTAGATGAACAGTCACTAGTAAGAGGCTAATCTGTTTCCCACCAGAGTGCTCCTTCTCTATCTGCCCAGGGGGTGCAGGTTGTACTCACTCAGATCCTCCTGTACCGTTTGCAGGTTGGCTGCTGCTACAGGCCTGTCAGTTGGGCCACTCCTTCCCTGCCATACAGGGGCTACTCTCTCAGGGGGCCAGTGAGTTCCGAGTTTTTTCTCCTTTCCAGCTCCAGGCTAGCAGGCAGTCCCAAACCAACTAGGCTTCCTGGCAGCCTCCTTCCTCACAGACTTATCTTCCTCTCAATTCTCCCACTCTATCTTCCTGCTACTGCAGTACTTTTAAGGGTGTCCAGCCCGTTGCCATCCTCTTGTTGGATTTGGCTAGGACCCCCTCACTGAGGGCAGCCAGACACTCTGCAGATCCACCCACTGCCTCCAGGACCTTCCTCTAAAAGTCTCAAAGCAAGGGGAAAATTCCAGAAGGACTGGCTGCAGAGCCTTTCAGCCCTGACAACAATTTGACCCCTGTGGCTATTACACCTGGGCTGCTACTCAGCCCCTGTCTAACCATTAGGATCTCTAGCTCCAGCTAGCTAAAGTGGAAGAGTGCTACATAGAGAGCTTAGAGGCAACGTGTTATAGAGTAGCAATATCACAAGCATGAGAAGGTAGGCTTGGCTGGTTTTGTCTCCACAAGAAAACTGGCCATATCAATCACCTTGCAAGGTGGACAGACAGAATGTAACACAGCCAAAACCAGGATGCTGGAATGAGAGCAGCAGCTTTTGATGGAGCAGGAGCGCTACACACTCCTGACAGTATCAATTCAAATGTAGGCACAGTGATACAGTACAACAAATATGAGCTGAAATCGAAAAATTGTGCAATAAATTCCATTACAGACATATATAAAAATAATAATAATAACACTGCATAGATTGACTGCTCGTTTTGCCTAGGGGACTTTTGAGGGGAGCAGAGATATACTTACCTAATCCACCAATCCTCCTAAAATGCAAGCCTGGGTCCCTGCACGCTACCGGTCTTGTGATAGAACTGTTCCTGGTGCCATCATGCCCATAGCCCGTGTTCTGGATGTGAGAACAGCAGAAACAGTTCCACCGCTGGAGTGGGGCAGCACTGTTTTCTGGAGGATCAGGTAAGTGTAGCCTTTCAGTGCGCCTCTGGACAAAATGAGAAATTTACCCATAGCCCACTGCAACTCTGCAAAGAATACTCAATCACATGCCAGTTAAAACAAAAAAAAAACAGCATTTTTGCTTGCAAATGATTGGATGATAGAAGCCAGCATATCTTCCCATCATTTACTAAGCATTGGAGCAGTTGCACTTGCAGAGTGCACCGTCTATTTGCCTTTAGAAAACACTAAGGTCTTTTAGTTCAACGAATTCTTCATGTTCACAATCTCTGCAGTAAAATGTATTTTGTTACTTACAGTCAAGGGTGACAAAAATATTGGCACC